CGTGGCAGCGTGCCGGGCGCGACTCCCGGTGGTGGGTGAGGGCCAGGGCCGCCGGTGAGGCGAACGAGCCCTTTCGGTGGGTGCGCGGGTGCCTCCTGCCCGCTGGCCGCCTGGGGGTGTTGGGGCTGCAGGCTCCCGGTCTGCTGGAGGCAGTCCCGGTCCCTCTCTTTCCCAAGCTGCTGTCATTGTTTTGCTTCCCTGTCCCTCTCCTCTCCATTCTTCTGTCCTGCTCCTTCTTCCTTCCTCTTGTTCTACCGCTCCCATTTCATCTCTCTGCGCTTTTGTCCCGCTCCCTCTCCCTCCTTTTTTTCATCTTCCGTCTCTGTCCTGCAGCCTATCACTATTTTTTTTCCTCTGCCATCCCTTTGTCCTGATCTGCATCTGTATTTTTTTTCCCCACGATTTCTCTGGCTTGTTTCCTGGCGTTCCTTTCCTCTCTGTGCCTACACGTGCCCCTCCATGTCCCTGCCTTCCTATCTTTCTCCCTCCTTTTCTTTCTCTCTCTTTCCCTTTGTCTTGCCCACGGTCACTGTTCTTTTTCATTATGCATCTCACTGTCTTTATCCTCCTTCCTGTTCATCTCTTACTCTTTCGGACCCCTTGTGCTGCTCCCTGGTCCTGTTATTTATTGCTTCACCTCTCTGTCCTGCTCCCTGTTCCTGTTTTTTCTCTTGCTCCATGTCTCTGTCATTCTCTCTGTTGCTCTCGTTGGCTCTTTATTCCAGTGTTCTGCTCCCCATCTCTTGTCTCTTTTGCAGCATCCTGCTTTCTGGCTCCCAGTCCCTGACCTGTTTTCTGTATCCCTCTGTCCTTCCTCCTGTCTTTCCTTGTCCCTCTGGCCTGCTACCCATCACTATCTATTTTTTCTTTCTCCAGCTTTCTGCCTCGGTCCTGTCACTCTCCTCCTCTCTCTGTCTCTAACGTTTCTTTCTCCATCTCTGCCCTGCTCCCTGTCCCTTTTCTCTTATTCTCTCTGTCCTCTCTCCTCCTTCTAACTTTTTGTCTGTATATCTCCATACCACTGCCTATCGCATCATTTCTCACTGTGTCCCCCTGCCCAGCTTGCTGTCCTGTTACTCCCCTTTGTCCTGTTCCCTGGCCTTTTTTCTCATCCTGTGGTCCATCAGACCATCTTCAGTAATGGGATGGTCTACGTGGTACCAGGTTTGCTGGCATTGGATGGGACTGACCTTTCTCAAAGGGGGAAGAGGGTCTTTGCTCATGAGCTAGCAGGGCTCATTGACAGAGCTTTGAACTAGACTTGAAGGGCTGTGAGAGACTGAACCGTGAACTATTTGTCTCAAGCCTATAAAAGACCGTGGAGACAAGACGCGGCGTGCACCCACCACCAAAGAATTGAAGATTGAGGACCAACGGGACGCCGCTGGACCCATGGTGGGGACTATTCTTGCAACCCTATCCCGAGTGCTTGCTTGATTTCTGCCTTCTTCTACCATTCTATCCTATCGGTATTATTTTCTACTTTTGATAATAAAAGCTGGTTTGGGTATACAGCCTTTGACCTTGTTTGTGTCTTAATCTCGCTCTTGGGATCATATTGAAACCTCTCCCTGATATTGGGTCAGGGCATTAAATTGGCATCACAGACAGGATCCCTTGAGAGGAGAGTGCCATACTGTTTCCCAAATACGTGAGACCTCTCAGGAACATAAGGGTTTGTGTTGTGTTTAATATTTTATGTGCTGCCTTCCTGAGACAACTGCTTCCCTGCTTTATACGAGATGAATGATAGTAAAATTGCCCCTTTGGGGAAAGAAGTTTTGTTTGATTTTTTAGAAAAACATAAAAGCGTGACTGTCTGTGCCTGGGGTAGACTGGGCTCAGGGAAATTGGCATAATCTGCAGAGCGTTGTTGATCAGACGGTCGCTTCAACAGAAAGACACTAGAGTGCAGTCAGGAAAGGGAAAATCTATTGTTTGTGCCATTCTCAGTGCCAGTTTGGCCGCAGCAGGAGAGGCTAGGGATTGCTGCCTCACTGCAGAATCTCAAATTATTGAATCCTTCCAAAACCTCGCTTGGTCCTTTCTGGGACAAGTGGCAGAATTAAAAGAACAAGTTGAAGCAGAAAAGAACCAAGTGAAACATTTGCAGACTGCTCTTAAGGAGCAGCTCCTTGCGGATACTGTCCGCGAGGGAATTCCCCCAAGATCAGAAATTGGCTACCCCTTTGATGACCTGCAGGCAGCAAAAGAGAGAGTCGAGAAGTTAGAACTGCCTTTGTCGTGACCCTTAGTCAAGACTGAGTATGTTTACGATGATGAGCAGGACCAGTCCCCCCAAGTTACAACTAAGGAGGCCCCTATACTGCCAATGAGTTGGCGAAACTAAAAAAGGAATTTGGCCAAACCCCTAAGGAGTCAGAAACAGAGTATGTGCGGAGAGTATCGTTGTCTGGGAGGGACCAGATTCTGTTAACTGAAAAGGAGGCAGAAGGGTACTGGGCACCGGGAGTGTTTTTAACTACTGGGAATTACCGCGCCCCCCAGTCTTTAACCCAACTGGCAGCCTGTTGGGCGGGGGGTTGAACCCCTTGGAGAGGGGGGACCCCTTCGCAATTACAGGGACGATTCATCAACTAGTAGAGAGTGTGCAGAAGGCAGCTTGTCTGCAGATGATGTATGATCGAAAATTGGAGCCTAGACAGGAGTCCCTGATGATGATGCCGGTAGATCCTGAGTGAATGACTCCCCTTATAAGGGGACTCCCCGATTCTTTGAAGCCAATTGGTATACAATTACAAGGAAAGATACAGGCGATGCCCCAGGTTGAGAGAGTTGCAGCTGCTTTAGAAGGACTCATGCCTGATTGGTGCACCAGCAACCCCCAGGTAGGAAAATGTGGACTTGGGGAGAAGTGGCCCAGGAATTAATTACGGGCACAAGTATGGTCCTGTTAACTCTCCAGCCACCAAAATGGACTCCAGGGGCTTGAGGTGAGCAGAAGTAAAAACAGTTCTGCGCCCTGGCAGTGATAAAAGAACACCCCTCACCAAACTGCCAGGAGGGAGAGACATCCCTAACAAAGATAATATACTGTGGGCGGAGGGACAGCAGAAGGGGATCCCACATGACTTAATGGACAGGCTGCCAACAGACAAATTAGAAAAGTTGGTAACAGGGTGGCCGATCCACTCTCCTTTTAACTCCCCGGTGTGGCCAGTACAAAAACCTAATGGCAAGTGGAGAGTGACTACAGATTATCTCAGACTTAATGCAAATACCGGTTTGTTGACAGCCGCGGTACCTAATGTTGCTGAGCTTATAGCTACAATCCAGGAATGAGCCCACCTGATTATAGCAACAGCGGATGTTAATGATATGTTTTTTATGGTCCCCCTACAACCAGAGGACCAAGACTGCTTTGCATTCACTTGGGAAGGTCAGCAATTTACTTTCACCCGACTCCCACAAGGATATAAGCATTCCCCCACTCTAGCCCATCAAGCGTTAGTGCAGGAGCTAGTAGTTTAGACAGAGGAGGTGGTCAGCATTTACCAATATATCGACAACATTCTTGTGGGAGGGGATGAGACAGAAAAAGTTCAGATTTCAGATAACTCAGGATTTCCCACTTAGAAAGTTTGGGGCTGAAAATTCCACCAGAGAAAATACGAACACCCTCAACTGAAGTAAAGTTTTTAGGAACTTGGTAGAAGGGAGGAATGACATGTATTCTACCAGACACCCTTTCCTCATTAGATCAGATTAAAATGTCAGAGTCAAAAAAGGATTTGCAGCATGTACTAGGATTACTTGTGTTTTCTCCAAAACACATCCCTAATTTTTCAATTATTGCAAGACACCTGTATGACTTGTTGTGAAAAGGGGCCCAGTGGGAATGGTCTGAACCCCACAAAGCAGCACTGCAGTTGCTAGTGTTTGAAGCGACTACTCACCAAGCTCTTGGTCCCATTCACCCCATAGACCCCGTCCATATTGAATGGGGATTTGCCAAGACAGGACTATCAATACATTTATGGCAAAAGGGCCCTGAAGGACCCATTCAACCTATTGGGTTCTATTCCTGTAGTTTTAAAGACACTGAAAAAAGATATACAGCCTGGGAGGAGGGTTGGTTTGTAGTCAGTTTAGCCTTGAGAGAGGCTGAATGGACTATTCGGCAACAGCCAGTAGGTGGCTCGGAGGGCCTCTGTGCGGAAATGGTATGCCCAGATAGAGCATTATTGTGACATTTTTACAGTGTCTGAGGGAGCCACCAAGATGTTAACCATTCAAGAGATGAGCCCAGACAGAGAAACACCCGAACTCCCTCCCGTAATACAAGTGGCCCCTCCGTTTTCCGAGCAGTTGCAGAATGTTTGGTTTACTGATGCTTTCTCTAAGCGAGAAGGAAGAACTTGGAAATATCGAGCTGTAGACTCTGCGTAGACGCAGACAAACAAATAATCACCAAAGGGGAAGGTAGTGCTCAAGTAGGGGAATTAGTTGCAGTACGGATTGTTTTCCAACATGAAGCCCAATCTACCTCTCCTGTCTATATCTATACTGACTCTTATGCTGTATTTAAAGGCTGTACTGAATGGCTTCTGTTCTGGGAACAGAATGAGTGGGAGGTCAACAGGATGCCTGTAGGGCAGAAAGAAAAGTGGCAAGATACTCTAACCATTGCTAGGCAAGGAAAATTTGCAGTAGCCTGGGTGGCTTCCCATCAACAGGATAGCACCCCTGTTAGTTGGTGGAATGGCAAAACTGGTGAATTAGCCCAATTAGCTCCCCTCCAGAACACCCCAATAGCAGAAGACTGGGACCGATTGTTAGAATGGCTACGTGTAAAAAGGAAACATTCGGGGATCAAAGATCTCTATTGTGAGGCCCAAGCTCAAGGTTGGCCAGTTACCAGGGAAGAATGTAAAACTTGTGTGTCTGCCTGTGAACAATGTCGTACCCGCTTGGAAAGACACCCCCTGGAAGGTGACCCCCTACACTTGAGGGAGGGGAAAGGGCTGTGGGAGGCCTGGCAAGTGGACTATATTGGTCCCTTCTGAAAATCAGAAGGAAAGCATTATGTGTTAGTTGAAGTAGAGATAGTGTCAGGGTTAGTCCAAGCTGAAGCATTTGCCAGAGCTACTGGGGAGAACACAGTGAAAGCTTTGAAAGAGTGGTTTGGCACCTTCCCCAAAGCATGGTCGATTCAGTTGGATAATGGTTCCCACTTTACTGCTAAAATAGTGCACGACTGGGCAACCCAGGAAGGAATCTCATGGGTATACCATGTTCTGTATTATCCACAGGCAAATGAAATTGTGGAAAGAACAAATGAGCTACTGAAGTGCTTCCTCAAACCACATAAGCCAGGATGGGCCAAACGGCTATGGGATGTGGTGGCTAGTGTTAACAGTCATTGGGGAGTAAACAGGTGCCTGAAAATTACAGCATTCTGCCCAAAGGACCCAACCATTATGCCAGCCCCAGATGGCCCAGATCATCCCAGAAATCCATCACATTTTCTGGGCCAACCAGTCTTAGTTGAACTCCCCACGGTGGGGGCAGTACCTCTGGTACTGGAAACCCCAATGAATAAATATAGTTGGAAAGCAAAGGATGCTTATGGAAAAGAACATAAGATCAACACCAGGTAGATTATTCCATCCTTCTAATAACAATTTGTTTCCGCTTCCTTAGAATGAACCGAGTCTGGGTTTTTTTCGTTTCCAGGTGAAGACTCTGGAGCCTGCCTGAAGGAACACATGAACCTGCTGACTGTCTGCATGGTTTTGTCGGTGATTGCTTTGTTAATATTTATAGGATGTTTGGCATACCACCGCAGACGTTGTTTTGGTTGACCATTGTCGCCACCTTTAATATTTGGGGAAACTCCTGTGCCCCCCTCATCGGCTCGTTGTGGCAAAATGAATTTATTGTTTTAGGCCAGCAAGTGGCCAACACTTTTAACCTGACTAATTGTTGGGTATGTGGTGGACCCTTGGGTTTGGAAAGCTGGCCATGGACTGCTGTCCCTATTTCCCCGAAATGGTTAGTGAGTAATTACAGTGAGGTAAAAAATGATTCTTACTGGGGTGAAGACACGCAGCCCTGGGCAATAAGATACCCAGCCCAAGGTGAATATTGCCTGAACCAAACACAGAAAGATGGTGTCCCTGTGGGAAACATCAAATGTAACTGGACCTATACTTATGGCAACCATTGCCTCACTGACGGTTGTAGACCGATTAATTGTTCAGGAAACACAAACTCGGACCCTATTTCACACAATGCAGGCTACCAGATGTATTGTAGCCTCTTTAGTTCCCATTCCTCGAATTTTGTACCTCGCTGGCCCGGGTGGGCTTGGGTGAATCAAACAGGGCACAGGAAACAGTTTTCCAATTTTTGGTCTTCCGCTAATCAGTCTAATAACCATCTTAATGTTACCTGCTTTTGGCACCATGGTTCTGGTGCCTGGAAATGCAAATTCACTGATAAGACATATTCCTGGCTCCCTGATGGGACTCAAATTTGGTGGTCAAGTGATAATAAAGACTGTCAGGGACATTTGAACATAGGTCCGGATGGACTTCCTATCTGTTGGGGCACCACAGAGGAGGTAGGAAAAGCCATGGACAGATTGTTGATGAATGGTCCATCAAACCATCCTCTAGGAGTAGATAATACAACATATTTCCAATCACCATGGACACCCACTGGTTTGTTTGAAAATGGTACCCGAGCCTTAAAGGGCCACTATTGGGTGTGTGGCCAACATGCCTACAAACTGTTACCAGCAAATTGGACTGGAGTGTGTTATGTGGGGGTAATTCACCCCTTGTTTTTTCTGCTCCCGGAGAATGAAGGTGATGGACTGGGTGTTAAGGTGTATGATGATCTTAATCGATATCGGCGGTCCATTGATACCTCTGTGGCAGGTGGAAGTGGTCAAACCTGGGGCAAAGATGAGTGGACCCCTCAACGTATCGTACAACATTATGGACCTGCCACCTGGAACCCCAACAAGGGGGTTAGTGGTGCTCGAGAACCTATTTACAATCTAAATTGCATCATTCAGCTGCAAGACGTGTTAGAGATTATTACCAACCAAACAGCCAACACCCTTGATCTATTGGCAGATCAGGCTACCCAAATGCGAACAGCAATCTTCCAACATCACATGGTTCTCGATTACCTGCTAGCCAAAGAAGGAGGTGTTTGCGGTAAACTAAATGATTCTAACTGTTGCTTAAAAATTGATGACAGTGGTAAAATTGTTAAACAAATTACCGCGGGAATACGGAAGCTAGCCCACGTTCCTGTCCAGACATGGAAAGGCTGGGACATTGACTTATTTCCCTGGCTCCCAGGTGGCCCGTGGGTCAAGCGAATCCTATTTTACTTGTTATGTGGTTTTGCCGTGGTGTTGTTTTTGCCATGTATCATTCCATGTTTTATACAATTGATTCAACGTATTGTAACTAATATGCAATTTGTAACTACTGTTTCACCTGATGGTATTAAACAAATTCATGCTGTCCATCAAACCACGCCATCGGTAGTATGGATTGTATGAAATGCTCTTTTCTGGCCTTTTCTACGTAACTATCTTTTCTCAAAACCGCCATGGGTCCTGAAGCAATTTTTGAGTCATGGGGTGGTGTAAGAGACTGAAGTGTGAACTATTTGTCTCGAGCTTATAAAAGACCGTGGAGACAAGCCATGGCGTGCACCTACCACCAAAGAATTGAAGATTGAGAACCAATGGGACGCCACTGGATCCATGGTGGTGACTATTCTTGCAACCCTATCCCGAGTGCTTGCCTGATTTCTGCCTTTTTCTTCCATTCTATCCTATTGGTATTATTTTCTACTTTTGATAATAAAAGCTGGTTTTGTTTATATGGCATTTGACCTCATTTGTGTCTTAATCTCGCTCTTGGAATCATATCGAAACCTCTCCCCGATACTGGATCGGGACAAGGGGGAGGGGGATAATATCAGGCTTGCCTGTGACAAGCTGTGGGATGACACACCAAGGTTAGAGGGACAGGGTGCTAGCGAGGGTCCTCACCCTGTTGCTCTGAGACATGCTGGGTACACTGCAGCATGCTTCAAGTCTTACGGAGATGAGCTAGGGGCTCCTGAGGTAATAGGAGCCAACAGAGAAACACCAGTGAAGCACCTCAAAGGAACTGAGGTGTGTTCCTCTAAGAAGGCAACATAGCCAACAGCCCAGCTGAAGTGCCTCTACACCAATGCACGCAGTATGGGCAGCAAACAGGAGGAGTTGGAAGCCGCTGTGCTGCTAGAAAGCTACGGCCTACTTGCCATTACTGAAACTTGGTGGGATGAATCCTGTGATTGGAGTGCAGCTATCAATGGCTACAGGCTGTTCAGAAGGGACAGGTGAGGAAGGAGGGGCAGAAGCATTGCCCTCTGTGTCAAGAAATGGATAGATTGTGAAGAGCTACCTCTGAATAATAGCCACAAGCAGGTTGAAAGCTTATGCGTAAGAATTAGAGACCGAAGCAACAAAGGGAACCTTGCAGCTGGTGTCTACTACAGGCTGCTGGGTCAAGGGGAGCCTATTGATGAAGACTTCTTATTCCAGCTACAGGAGGCATCATGCTCACAGGCTCTCATTCTGCTGGGGGACTTCAACCACCCCAACATCTGCTGGAAAAGTAGCATGGCGAGCTGTAGGCAATCCAGGAGACTCCTGGAATGCACGGAGGATAACTTTTTAAGCCAGGTAGTAACCCTACCAGAGGGGATGCAATACTGGACCTGATGGTCACCAACACAAGTGAGCTAATTGGTGATGTCAAGGTTGGAGGCAGCCTGGGCTGCAGTGATCATGCGGTGGTGGAGTTTGCAGTCCTGGGGGATATAGGATGGGTGAAGAGTAAAGTCAGGACCCTGAATTTTAGGAAAGCAAACT